GACATTTTCTGAAGAAGGGTCTAGACCCGAAACGTCAGCTTTCCTGCTCCTCTGATGCTGCTTGGCCTGCTGTGTTCATCCAGCTCTACACCTTGTTATCTCATTTAAAATAGTGATTTTTATTTAATGTTAATGAAACAAAATGAATGAAGATCTTATTATTAAAATATAATGACTGCAATAACTGTAAAATAAAAACTGTGATAAACCTTTAACTAAGCCTGCAATCCCAGAAGCAGATGTGAGATCTATGCTGCAGCAAAACGCAAACTTCTTTATCTTGAATGGATGAACAGAAATGCTGGGTCTGACTTAAAGACTTACTCTAGAATTCTGAGGTGTAGAGGAATTTGGTGTTCTGGCACACTTGTCACAACAAGTTAGTATGCAGGTGCAGCAAGTAAATAAGATTAATGAAAGACTGAGTGAAACATAAAAATAAGGATATTAAGCTTCAATTATACAGGACACTGGTGAAACCATTGTGTGCAGTTTTGGTTTCCTTAGTGAAGGACAGATGTAAATGCATTACTTGTTCAGAGGAGGTTACTAGGTTGATATCTGGAATGAGCAGATTGTCTTCTGAGGAAAAGTTGCACAGCAGAGAAGTGTTTTCACTGGAGTTTACAGTGAGGGGAGAGTTAATTGAAGTGTATAAGATCCTGAACACTGCTGACAAAGTGGGCACATATAGGATGTTTTCTCTCAGGCGGATACAGAACTAGCAGGTCATTGTTTTAAACTCAGGACCTCCCTATTAGAACATAGGAAAAACATTTTTGATGGTTTTAGAACGGAAGAACTAGTAGCAGGAGTAGGCAATTCAGCCCCTCAAACCTGCTCTGCCATTTGATACGATTGTGGGGTTATTTCTGCCTCAACTCATCTTTTCTGCCCTCCCCATAGCTCTTCAACCTGTGACTAATTAAAAATCTGTCCATCTCATCCTTAAATTTACTTAATGTCCTGGAGTCCACTGCACTTTGGGGAGGTTGAATCTGTGACATTGGCATTCTGCCTCAGAAGGCAGTTAGTGGAATAGGGATTCATTGAATCTCTTTAGGCTGTTGTAAATAGATTCTTGTTGGACAAATAAATCAAATGTTCTTGAGTGTAAATGGGAATGTACAATTCAAAACACATCAGATCAGCTTTGACCTTATTGAATGTTGGGCTAGCTTGAAGGGCCAAATGGCCTATTTCTGCTCATAATTCACATGTTTGTACATGATCTCTTTGAAACATAAGATTCTGAGATGGCTTGATAGGGTGGATGCTGAAAGATTGGTTGGTGAATTTAAAACTATCGCCTAATAACAGACCAATCCAATAAGGACTGAAATGAGGAAAAACTACTTCCTCAAAGGGTTATGAACCCTTGGAATTGTCTTCCCAGAAGTGTGGATGTTCCATTGTTAAATATGTTTAAGGTGGGAACAAAGAAAAACTTTTTGTCTCTCAGGAAGAGAAGCAGGTGGGAAAGTGAAGTCCAATATTATCCATCATCATGTTGAATAGGTGGAGCAGGGTCAATGGGCCCGGTGGTCTACTCCTATTTCTTGTATTCTACTGTTCATTGTACGTTGGAAAGAGAAGATCAAGGGGACAAAGAGAGAATCCATCGAGATGAGATGCAAGGTGAAAATGTCACATCACTGGTAATGGGATGTGCATCTGAAGGAAACAAACTTGCAGGACTTGAGCAATAGAGCAGGGGAATGGCACTGATTAGATTGTTCTACTGAGAGCTGACATGGGCTCAATGGAGCTTTCTGTGCTGTAATGATTCCATGGCACAATGCTATGTTCCATTCCAGTCTAAAGGAAGAGTTCCTGGCTCAAAAGAACTTTGCAGATGCTATATCTTTCAAAGTTCTCACCCACTTCTGTATATTGGTTGGCACAACTTTCTTGCTTTTATACCCAATGCCTCAATAAACAAAGCCAAAAATCTCACCAGGTTCTTTTTTAAACAGCCTACTCAACTTGTCCTGCCCCCTTCAATGATTTGTGTACACATTGTAGGTATTTCTGTTCCTGAAGCCCCTTCGAAATTGTATCAATTATCTCATATTGCTTAACCTATTCTGTGTATCAAAATGTATCACTTCCCATTTCTCTACATTAAATTGTACTTGTCACCTGTGTTTTAATCTAATTATTGGAGACTATATTTTCAGTGCCACTTTATGGATATTTCAGCTCTGGTTTTTTCCTGTATCCTTGCTTTGTGCGCTGAATACCTGGTGGGGGATTGTTTAAAAGTTAATAGTGACGACTATGCAAACCAATGTTATGGCATGTCAACAGCAGGGAATCACCAAATTGCCTTCTGTCACAAAGCTAACAGAGAATGGTGCAACGTTTGGATATTTAGCCATACACCTGCCTCTCTCCTGAATTTGTTGCACGATTCGTTCACAAATAATTGCAAGCACTATTAGCCTCACGGAAAACAGAATTAACAGCAAAATCTGGCTCAACACTTAACTGTGTTTACAGCAAACAAGAGTATGGTGCCATAGCAAATACAAAACAAGTCACATGATATTTCTAAACATGCCACGCCTCTTTTTTAAACTTCTGTAACGCCAACCAATTAAACAATGTCTAAACTTAAAGCACTTCTTTACAAGCGGTTGTGCTTGAAATGTGACGAAAATATCTTATTGCAAAATTATAATAAGTTACGGTTCATGCCTCACGCAATTGATGTGATTTCTAGATTGATTACACCAATTAAACAAGTTTGACAGTTGTACAAAATACTTCCTTGCTCGCCAGGATAACAATGTGAAATTCCAACATGTACTTTCCCCCACTCCTCAACCTTACGCAGATGTGACATATTGGATATACTCAGGTAACAGGTCAGACAGCACCTGAGAGGAGGTCTTGATGGTCCATTCTTCATCAAAACACGATCAGTTATCTTTGATAAAAGCAAAATGTTGTAGGTGCTGCAAATCTGAAATACGGACAGAAAATGCTGGAGAATCTCAGCAGGTCTGGCAGCATCTGTGGAGAGCGAGAAATAGAATTAACATTTTACCTCCAATATGACTTCGGGTTCCGAAGAAAAGTCCTATTGAACGTAAAACGTCAACTCTGTTTCTCAGGCACTTTGTTTTTATGGCAGTTATCTTTGACTGTTTTATATAATGTTACATCTACATGGCTCCGCTATTTCAGGATCATTCTGTGAAGTATTTACCCATCTATATTTCATATTGTAATTTTCAGTTCGATTACTAATCGGATTTTTTTATACCTTTTGGTTGTTTTAAATGCCCATCACAAGCAACATTAAAGCCATTTTCTGTATTTTCTAGTTACATTCTCTCTCTCTCTCCCGTGGGGGGAGGTAAACAAACCTTTTGTTGCTTGAGGCCTTTTTGATTTTTGTATTCAGGACATCGAGATCCGTTTTTAGCTGGATTGAGTAATGAAGGAAATTCCACCGTCAAGCAATGATTTTTTTTAAAACCCAAAATACCATTCACTCAGAGGAATTCCCCCTTTCTAGCACCAATTTCCTCTTTGGTGTTGCTTATGATTTAAAAAAAAAAGAGGGGGTTCGGAGCGATTTGAGGGGAGTTTCAAAAGATATTCAGTCATGGTGTAATATTTATGTCGATTGGGACGGCGGTGTGTTTCTCCTCCACAGAATTCATGAGGCTGTAAATAAATCAGAACAAATGGTGTGGTCTTCCAGTGACTTGTATGTCTTCCAAATAAAAATGATTCCCGAGGACAAGTGAGGTCCACCAGGAGAAAAGGGAGGGAATTGAAGGGAAGATCAATGAATTGCTGGGGAGGGGAGATGGGGTTGGAGAAGGTCGAATGGTTTGGCTCTGGTTCCAGGAGCTGGGCTGTGTGTTTGGAGGATTTACGGTAAGGTGGACCACTGGCCACTGGGATCAGGTGATTTACGAGTCTCGAACGCCGTATCTGCTTGTGCACAATGGAACATTGGGGATTTTAAATTATTCTGTCGCTTCCTTATATTTTGTGTTTTGTTAAAAAAAAATTTGGGAGGAGGTTGTGGGAGTGGGAGAGAAAGGACAGTAATCGCCAGCTGCATTTTGGTGGGTGGGATTGGGAAGCGTGAGGATGAAGCGCTGATCAAAGCGGTTTGTTCAAGGCCCTGTGTGGGGGTATTTGCCTGTGTCTGTGGAAACATGGGGATGTGCTACAGCCTGCGACCGCGGCTGTTCAGCGACCCCATCGCGTCAGTGTCCACCAGCAGCCCGGACTCGGAGCCTCCGGCGGCGGCGGCGGCCCCAGCCCCAGCCCAGCAGCGGGGGGACACGGCGGAGCGGCGGCGGAGCTCCGAGTGGCTACGCGATGGTCACCAGCCCCAGCCTCAGCGCAGGGACACGGACAGGCTCCGCGACTGGCAGCCGCAACAGAACGGCGGAGAGCGGCAACACGGCTCTAAGAAAGCAGCCTCCGAGAAACAGAACAAGAACTGGGACAGGCTGCGGGCGGAGGAGAAGGAGGCGGAGAGGGAGGCGAAGAAAGTCAGTAAATACATCGACAAAATCCTGAAGGAACAGAAACGCGAGTACAAGCAAACGCACCGCCTGCTTCTGCTGGGTAAGGTCATGTCAATGTAAGGGCCCTTTCCTCTGTTCGGGGAAAGGTGACTTATTAAAGGGACAGGGAGAGGATGGCATTTCATGGTCAGTTTGCATGATGTTTTCCACGTGCTTTCTGATAGACAGCTATGGTTTTGATGGCACACTCTTTTTAAAATTAATCATTTCATTCATCCTTGTCTTGAAGTTAGCGGCAAACATTTAAACTTGCGCCTCCAGAATGTGCACCAAAAACGACATCAAATTAGCACTGGCCAATTTGTAAACTGCCAGTGCTGTCAATCATATATTTAAAAAAAAACACTGAACTGTCTTAAGGATGTGACTGGCAGGGTTAATGACAATTTTGTCACCTTGTTACAGCTTACTTTTTCATGTCGCTTTGCATCATCAGACTTGACCACATTACACAGACATTACAGTCCATGTTACATTAATGACTTGGATGAAAGCAATGAGCCTTGCAAGCGTCCTGTTAGTAAAGAAGGGCAACCAATGGATATAGTCTACTTGGATTTTAAAATGTGCTCCAGGAAAGATGTTTTGCACAAGTTAAGAGCTGACAAGGTAGAGTGCCGCACTGATGTGGGCAGACACTTGGTTAAAGGGATTTCGGTTAGGAATACGAAGGTCTTTGAAGAGTCATGCTGGATTTGAAGCAGTAACTCTGTCTACATTTCTCCAGCATTTGTTTCACACTTTTTTTAATGTTAGCAGCCTGTTACTAACAGAATACTTGCAAGGGTCATTGTTTACACCCAAGTCATTAATGTAACATGGATTGTAAGGACTGTGTAATGTGACCAAGTCTGGTGATGATACAAAGCTACATGGAAAAGTAAGCTGTAACAAGGTGACAAAATCTGCAAACAAATTAGGTTAAGTGACTGATTGAGCAAAAGATGTTGGATAGAGTAAATGTAACAAAATGAGGTTTTCACTCTCTAGTAGGAAAATAAAGTATATTTTTAAAAATAAGATACTGTTAATAATTGAGAAGGATGCAGTGTCCTTGCATGGGACACACAAAGTTTCATGTACAGCAAGCAGTTAGGAATGCGGATGGCATACTATGAGGAGAGTGAAGTTATGCTGCAGTTGTACAGGGCTTTGTTAAACCATATGTGGAATCTGGAGTCTGATTACCATATCGAAGGAAAGATATGCGTGTGTTAGAGGAATTGAAATGAAGCCCCACTAGATTGACTCCAAAATCAAAGTCTATGCAGAAAGATTGATTAGAACCTGCCTATACTTGCTAGAGTTTATAAGAATGAGAAGTGATCTCATTGAAATTTTATATGATTCTGAGGGTTTGTCCAGGTTGTTGCTGAGAAACTTGAGGATACAGTACCTGCAAGATAAGGTGTCAACCTTTTAAGACTGAGATGAGGAATTCTGTCACTCAGAAGTTTGTGAATCTTTGGAATTGGTTACCCCACAGGGTGCGGTTGTTCAGTTGTTTAGCATATTCAAGGCTGAGGTGGCTAGACTTTGGAGTCTAATGATATGTGGAGATCAGTGGAGAGAGTTGAATTGAAGCCGAAGATCAGCCACCTTCATGTTGGATGGCAAAGAAGGGTCAAGGAGTCATGCAGCTCATTGTTCCTCTTTCGTTAAAACAAAGAAGTACCCATTGCTAGAAATCTGAATCAAAAACAGAAATTGCTAGACAAACTCAGCAGGTCTTGCAGCATCTGTGGAGAGAAAGAAGAGTTAACATTTTGGGTCCAGTGAGCTGTCTTTAGAACTCTTGGATTCTGAAGAAGGGTCACTTGACTCAAAACACTCAATCCAGTTTCTTCCCACAGATACTGCTGAGTTTCTCCAGCAGTTTCTGTTTTTGCTCCTTGTCCTAACTGTATTCTCAACATTCCCAATGTATTTGGAAATGACTAGTTAACCTTTCTAGGATCAAATATTTGAACATCAGTTTGTCTTTACTGATGGGCCTGTTATGTTTCTAATATTTTTGAATACCGATACCAAGGCTGGTTCTCTGGGAAAATTGAAAAGTTTGTATTTGAAATGATTATGTTCTGTCTAGCATACTTGCTTCCTTAAAGGATTACTCCATTTTCCACTGAACCTTTAAATAGATGTAAACAATATTAATTTTTGATTAAGGACAGCAAATATGTAAATGAAATTTGCACATATGCTTTGGGATTTCAAATAAATCCTATTGCTAAACGTAAAACTTTGTGCAAGGGCGCCACATCCCTCTGAGCTATTTAATAGTTTCTCACCATTTAAAATAAGTTCATATTCTTCAAAACATAAGGCCCTGTTTTTCCCTTTCCAGAAAGCCAACTCTCTACAATCTTTCTACTGCAGCATTTAACCATTTAAGAAATTCCAGGGTCTTGTTATCGCCTACTATTTTTAGCAATGTATTTCACTTGTTGATTTTGTGTGAGTTGATACTTCCTCATGTAAGCCCTAGGCATGCCGTTCTCCTGTGATGGATGAATTATATTACAGTGTAATTAGGGGAGGAGAATTTGTGAAATAGTCATGGTCATTTTGAGGAAGGTAAAAAACAGCTAACAAATAGATCTCGCCAGAACTACCTCAGACATTTTTGAGGAAATAAGCAATGCAAATTGATGGGGTTACTGACGTATTGTTAATTGCATCGTGCAAGGAATTTACAGTCTAATGTCATTGTGAAACTTTGTGTGTGTGTGTGTGTGTGTGAGAGAATGTGAATTCATGACGTGCCAAAGGAAAAGTGCAGAAACAATTCCTATGATGCATTGAGTCCAAACAAGTAGGAGAAATGAGTAAAGTGCTACTGAGTGCATGTTGCCTGACCTAGTGTTCTAATGTGCATAAATGATCTGAATTTGCAACTCTGGAACATGGCTGAATATTGCATTGACACCAGGCAAGAATGAGACTGGGTTAAAGAAGACAACCAAGACCTTGCGACAGAGCTTGGCAAGTTTTTTTCATCTATATTCTGGGTAATGAATATCATTACATTTGGATTCATAAAAGAAAGGCTTGTATTTATATAGTCTTCCATGTCCAGAGGATGTCCCAAAGTGCATTAAAGCCAGTGAAGTTTTTTTTTGGAAGTGTAGTCACTGTTGAAATGCAGAAAAGATTACAGTTCAGTATGGACGGATACAAGGTACCGTATATGATAGATTAAGTAGAAAATGTTTGTATTCCATGGTTGCAATCTTAATGTGCTATGGGGATGTTTAAGGTGTTTTAGTTGACTGGGAGGTTGCAGTGAATGTCACAGCAGGATATTAAATTGAACTGAGGTCTTCAGCCCCAGTTTTAACTGCTGTGCAATGGCCAATCACAGGAATAGGTTCTTAAGCCCCTTGTACCTCTTCTGCCATTCAGGCTACTTATGAATTGTCTGTACTTCACTCCATTTGATCACCTTTGTTTCATACATCTTGGTATTTTTACCTAATGTATTTATTACTGTCTTGAATATCATCCCAGAAAATAAAGCTGTTTGGGGGACGGAGTTGGGGGAGATTGCCACTAATCCTCTTCTTTATGTAAAACAGATGATACTGACTTCACTCAGGTGATCTGATTCTAAGTTTCAAATTTTGCCCTCTTGGTCTGATTTCCTCACCAAAAGAAATAGTTTCAACATATCTACCCCATTGAAATCCTTAACTTTAGCAGCCTTGATTAGAACACTGCACAACGTTTCTCAATTCAAGTAAAAGCAAACCAACTTGATGCAACTTATTCTCATCACTCTATTGAATCTGTGCTCCATCCTCTGAGGCCAGTATATATTTCCTGAGGTTTATTGCCTAAAAATGAACCAAAGAGGATCTATCCAAGATGAATCCTCTTTTTTTGTATTTGAATATAGCTTTTATATTGAGATAAAAGCTATTCTATTACCCTTTTTTGTTGTTTATTAACTCTTTGAATAGCTTTTAGTGATTTATGTCCATAGATATTTAATGTTTTTATTCGTTCATGAGATGTCGACATCGCTCGCTAAGCCAGTATTTATTGCCTATCCCTAATTGCCCAGAGGGGAGTTAAGAGTCAACCACATATGTGGGTCTAGAGTCACATGTAGGTCAGACCAGTTAAGGATGGCAGCTTCCTTCCTTGAAGGACAGTGATGAACCAGATGATTTTTTTTTTCCATCAATGGAGTCTTCCAAATTTTATTACATTCAAATTCCACCATCTGTTGTGGCAAGATTTGAACCCAGAACGTTACTTGGGTCTCTGGATTAACAGTCCAGCGATAATACCACTAGGCCATCATCTCCCAAAATGCTTTTGCTTGTTCACAGCTCTTGTCTCAACATTAAGCAACTGTTCTTACTTTTGTTATTCAAACCTGAAGTGAAGGACTTAACATATTTCCACATTAAACTCCATCTACCAGAAGTTCGCCCACTGTTTAGTCTATCTGTATCATCTGAACTGAACTGTTAGATATCTGAGGAAAGGAATAAATGCAGAGGCTCTGAACTTCAAAAATACCCTTGAATGATACTTATGAGGAATGAGCAAGCATGCTCAACAAACTAAGTTCAGAGATTTCAAGGTTAAATTTTTGAAGAACAAGTTTTAAGATGCTTGTCAGGAGGTGGTCATCAGTTACAATGGTTTGCCATGCATGATGTGATTGAGCCTAGAGCATTAAAGTTTTCAGTTGTATGTAGAAGTTATAATGGTTGCATAAGATCGAATGATCTGAAGGGCATTTGTCATTTTCAACAGTATCTTCTGAGATTGAGATTTCTGCCTCTGCTTTTTAGTATTTCTCAGGTCCACTATGGTTACAAATTACAATTCCATTGTATCAACATTTTCTTGTCGCACCTGATTTTCTTCATAAATTACTTTAACTTAATTTGAACGTTTGGATTCTTAGGGAAAATAGGAGTGAAATTGTTTTCACATTGAATTGTGTATTGCTGACACAGCTCACCTGTGATATTTGATTCCAGCTAAAATGTTATGGCAGTGTGTATAAATGCATAGCTATAA